GCCAACGTGTATTTGAAAAAAACATCTTTTTCAAAACAAGACCCGCCCCCCCCCCTCATATTTTCAATTGTTTTACTTCAATAAAAAATTTTCATTCAGTGTTTTTTTTTATTTATTTATAAAAAATCAAAAGGAATGCAGAATTATTTTCACAAGCTTTTTAGTTTATATTTACAAAGGGTGTCAATAATTACGGCCACGATTATATATACAGTATATACACTGAACAAAATTATAAATGCAACACTTTTGTTTTTGCCCCCATTTTTCATGAGCTGAACTCAAAGATCTAAGACTTTTTCTATGTACACAAAAGGCCTATTTCTCTCAAATATTGTTCACAAATCTGTCTAAATCTGTGTTAGTGAGCACTCTGCATGCTCGTCGTCCTCATCGGGGTCTCGACCTGACTGCAGTTCGTCTTCATAACCGACTTGAGTGGGCAAATGCTCACATTCGGTGGCATCTGGCACTTTGGAGAGGTGTTCTCTTCACGGATGAATCCCAGTTTTCACTGTAAAGGGCAGATGGCAGACAGCGTTTATGGCGTCGTGTGGGTGAGCGGTTTGCTGATGTCAGCGTTGTGGATCGAGTGGCCCATGGTGGCGGTGGGGTTATGGTATGGGCAGGCGTATGTTATGGACAACGAACACAGGTGCATTTTATTGATGGCATTTTCACATCAACAACCTGATCAACTCTATGTGAAGGAGATGTGTTGCACTGCGTGAGGCAAATGGTGGTCACACCAGATACAGACCCCCAATAGAGTAAAACTGCACATTTTAGAGAGACCTTTTATTGTGGCCAGCCTAAGACACACCTATGCAATAATCATGCTGTCTAATCAGCATCTTGATATGCCACACCTGTGAGGTGGATGGATTATTTCGGCAAAGGAGAAGTGCTCACTAACACAGATTTAGACAGATTTGTGAACAATATTTGAGACAAATAGGCCTTTTGTGTACATAGAAAAAGTCTTAGATCTTTGAGTTCAGCTCATGAAAAAATGGGGGCAAAAACAAAAGTGTTGCGTTTATAATTTTGTTCAGTGTATATAAATTCAAATTCATCATGGAAAGATTTTCCAAATTAATGCTTTCTGGAGTTTACAAATTAAGGCATCTGAAAAATTATTTGAGGCTTAATGAAATTCACTAAAGCCTCAGGTCTGCATTATATTCAATAGTCATTTAATTATAAATCTGTTTTTTACTTTTTCATCATGTTTTTATTCACTTTCATCAGCCTTTTTAACAGAGGATTTAATGCTGCAGAAATTCTTGCAAATTCACAAAAACAACATGAAGAAGAAAGCAAAGTATATTTTTGAGGGCAACAACGAAAATGACGCAGATCTCGAGACTGTTTACACAGAGCTGTTCATCACAGAGGGAGAGATGAAAGATGTCAATCACAAACATGAGATTATGAAGATTGATGATGCTTTCAAGAACAAAAAAACACAGGACAAACCAATCAAATGCAATGATATATTTACTGAACTGAGGAAAAACAATGAGGAGAAGATTGTGCTGACCAAGGGAGTCGCTGGCATCGGAAAAACTGTCTCTGTGCAAAAATTCATCCTGGACTGGGCAGAAGGAAACACCAATCAGGATATAGTCTGTGTGTTCCTGCTTCCATTCAGAGAGATCAACATGATTAAAGACAGAGAGGTCAATCTCCATGAGTTTCTGCTGAAATTCTATCCTGAATTGAAGGACCTGGAGAAATCAAAGTTATATAAGGAATGTAAGCTAGTGTTTATATTTGATGGACTTGATGAGAGTCGCCTGCTTTTGAACTTTAAAAGCAAAACACTGGACACTGTTGAGGAAAGATCATCTGTAGATGTGCTGTTCACAAGTCTGATCAAAGGTAAACTGCTTCCATCAGCTCTTGTGTGGGTGACCTCACGACCAGCAGCAGCCAATCAGATCCCTCCTCGGTATGTGGGTTTGTTCACAGAAGTGCGAGGATTCACTGACCAACAGAAGGAGCAGTACTTCAGAAAGAGAATCACAGATGAGACTCAAGCCTCCAGAATCATCTCACACATTAAGACGTCTCGTAGTCTCTACATCATGTGCCACATTCCTGTGTTCTGCTGGATCGCAGTCACAGTACTTCAGGATATTCTCATTGAGAACAATGCAGAGAACATCAGCACAACACTCACTGAAATGTACATTCACTTCCTGCTGATACAGATGAACATGAAGAACCAAAAGTACGATGAACAAGAAGAAACAGAACGTACAGAGCACCTACAATTAAATCGAGAGATGATTTTGAAGTTAGCTAAGCTAGCGTTTGAACAGTTGAAGCAGGAAAACATTGTGTTCTCTGAGAAAGATCTGAAAGAATGTGGTATTGATGTGAGTAAATACACTGAGTTCACAGGAATGATCGTTGAGATCTTTAAAAAGGAAAATGGACTTTATAAGACAAAGGTCTTCTGCTTTGTGCATCTGAGTGTTCAAGAGTTTTTCGCTGCAGTGCATGTGTTCATCTGTTACCTGAACAAGAACATGCAGGAGCTTCAGTTTTTCTTTGAAGATTCAGAAGCTACAGCCAGACAAAAGTTTCACTTCTTCTTTAGAAATGTCAAATTTCATGACTTAATAAAGAGGGCCACTGATAAAGCCATGGAGAGTGAGAGAGGACATCTGGATCTGTTTCTGCGGTTTCTGATGGGCATTTCACTGGAATCCAGTCAGAACCTGCTCAAAGGCCTGATAAAACACACACAAGACACCAGTGTGAGCATCCGAAAAATAAGTGCACACATTAAACGATTACAAAAACAGGACATCTCGGATGAAGCTTCAGTCAACCTATTCTACTGCTTACTTGAGCTGAAAGATCATTCATTATATGAGGAAATCCAGAGTTACCTCAGTTCAGATGAACATCCAGGAAGAGACCTCTCATCTTCAATGTGCACAGTGCTGACCTACATACTGCTGATGTCAGAGAAGGTGCTGGATGAGTTCAACCCAAAGAGGTTCACGTCACCTTCAAACTACACAAGACTTGTCCCAGCTGTGAGATGCTGCAGAAAAGTCATGTGAGTAATTTCACTGACTGTGGTTTAATTAAATGTTTTGTTCTACATCACTAAACAATTAAATGTTAAAATACTATGTAAAATACTTTCACACTGTCTGGATTATGAAGGGCATAATAAATTATTGCAGAAACACTGAACATCAGAAAATAATCTGGTTAAACATTCTGTTTTGTCAGATTTGACGGCTGTGGTCTTGATGAAGCATGCTGTGAAACTGTGTCTTCTGCTCTACAATCATCAAACTCTCATCTGAGAGAGCTGGACCTGAGTAACAATCACCTGCAGGATTCAGGAGTGAAGCTGCTTTCTGATGGACTGAAGAGTTCACATAGTCGACTGAACATACTGAGGTTTGACTTTCACATTCACTGAATCACTAGGTTCAAATATGTGGAAGAATAGGTATTTCTTAACTATAGCTAGCAGATATTTCCCGTTTATACTGTAGTACAATTGTATCAGTGGCATTTTCTCCAAGAACACAAGACAGGCAACGCCTACTCAAAAAACCTGATGAGAAATCAATCAGGCTTCCTAACCATCCTGGAAAATCTGGGATTTTGTAATGCTGGTTTCCAGTTATGAGAATGAAATAATATCTACAAATAATGAAACAATACCTTCTTAATGACTTCTTTGAACATTATGTTTCAGTGAACTTTAAAAAATTTTTTTAAATGTTCCCTTTCCTTATAAATTTGATTACAATAGATTTATTTTCACTTCATCAGAAATCCTCTGCTCCGAGGATCATCTTACTTTTGGTTCTTGCCTCATTTCAGTAGAACAGATTCAATGTGTTGATAACTTGACAAACGCTGTGACTGGATCATTGAGTCAGTGAGTTGAACTGGATTCATGAATGATTTGCTGCAGTGTTGAGCACAAATGCACAGATGAGGTATGAACAGGAGTTGATCCTGAGGCATTTTTTGGGCCTTGAAGTTGCTGCCCTGGCATTTGTGCTTATTTAAGATACTTATAACTTTTTAATGGATACATCGGTAACACTTTATAATAAGTATACAGTAATAAAAAAATGACAAATTATTTGCAAACTATTAAAAGAAAAGGTGCTGCAAAAAAAAAAAAGCGGTAACACTTTCTATGAAGCCCGTATTTATAATACATTATAAGGGTATTCGTATATATTGAATGAATAATACATTATAAAAAAAACATATATGTTGTATCGTCTCATAAATAATCATAAGAACAGTTTTAATGTATTATAATACTTACTTATTTGTGGTTATAGCTTTTAAGAGTATGATGATTTATAACACACAATGAACACGTATCAATTAACACAGTGAACATGCATCCATTTAAGTTACAATAAATTATATTTCCCATAGTTATAATGTATTATAAGTCTCATATCTTGCCATTGTTTAAGATCTGCACAATAATTTAGTTATTAGTGTTTTTACTGTAAAATGACAAATACAAAGTCTTCATGAATACATCCAAAAGGCTTTATAATTTGGTCTTATTATTTATAAGTGGTCTTTGTAAGCTTTAAGTAAAGGGTAACACTTTAGCATAGGGAACATTTATTTACTATTAACTACGACTTTTCCCTCAATAAATTCCTAATTTGCTGCTTATTAATAGTTAGTAAGGTAGTTGTTAAGTTTAGGTATTGGGTAGGATTAGGATGTAGAATAAGGCATTAATATGTGCTTAATTAGTACTAATAAATGGCTAATATTCTAGTAATATGCATGCTAATAAGCAACTAGTTAAGAGACCCTAAAGTTAAGTGTTACTAAGTAAAGTAACTTCACTTTACTTAAAGGTTTTTGAAACCTTCACTTTACTTACATTTCCACATAATGTACATTATTGTTTCTCCTCTATGCCCCGCCTTTCTGAAACGCGTAGATTTTTACAAAGCTCATCGTTCTGAAAAGCAAGGTGTGCTCTGATTGGCCAGCTATCTAGTGCGTTGTGATCGGCCGAATACCTCAAGCATGTGATGGAAATGTTATGCCCCTCACCATACTGTGATGCCGTGTCCCGGCCGGAGCGACGAGACAAAAACATTAAAACCCATTATAAACGAGGCATTTGTTGCATCCAGTGGGGACATAATTACTGATTATAATGACTTATACTGTCTTTTTACGCATTGCATTGCATCACGCCGCGTAAACATAAAACCATGTCTGCATTTGTGATCGGAGAAATTACAAACAACAAGCCTACTCTACACTGCTCAAAACTTGAATCGTCAGTGGCAAATTCTTTAAAAATGAAAATGTACTTACAGTCTGTGTAAAACCTTTAGTCCAGACCATCAGTAACAACATATTCAACATATTATAAGGTTTTTAATAATGCATTATACATTCATTATAATGCCTTAAGAATACCCTTATTGTCACGAATTCGGTCTATTAACTTCCGTTCACTCACCACCAGAGGTCACCCGCTCACTACATGGACTCTCACACTACACAGACTGTTACACTATACCTTAAACTACATTTCCCATCATCCATTGTACTGATTGCACACAGCTGTAACCAATCACACGCTCACCTGAAAGCTATTACACACACTATATAACACCCACTCAGATCCTGCTCAAGTCGCCGAGTATTGTATAGCGTTTATCACTCTCCTAGCGATGGCTACTCTACGGAGCCAGTTTCTAGTTTTTCATAGTCTAGTCTTGCCTTGCCTGTTTTTCCGTATTCTGATTCTGTCTGTGGATCTTGGATTAACCCTTTGCTTGCTGTTTCGGACTGTGTTTGCACCTTGCCTGGATCTTTGCCTTGTACCTGGATTATCAATCTAGTCTCACCCTGTTGGATTACGTTCGCTGTCGACTGACCCTCGCTTGTTTACCGGACTGCTCTTGCCTTGTCTTCTACATACCAGTTTGCCATTGTCTATGACCCGTGCCTGTTTCTGACCACTCTTCTAAATAAAGCTTACAAATGGATCCGCACGTCTCACGTCTCGTTCGCCCCGTAACACTTATAATGCATAATAAATACAGGTTTCATAGAAAGTGTTACCCCTAATACTCTTGATGCATTGTGCACCACAGTGTTGCAATCCACACCCACATTAAAAGCAGCAGACAAGGTCCGTACTTTTTTGAACAGCTTAAGAACCTGTTTACATCATGCCAGCACTTGATCTGGTGTATGAGCTGCCAATATAAGAAAAACAATATTGAACACAATGAGAATGCTGTACAACACAGTACACACACATATGATAAAATAAGCATATAAGCTCTAATTTCTTCTCCTGAATAAAGCATAAAATCAGAATGCCATAACAGTAAGATCCTGATGATTTGCAGGGGACAGACTTTATTTATAAATAAAGTAGAGTTGAATTGAGTTTAATTGAGTATTATGTATGAGCCACAGAAGTTCAGTACAAAAGGCAATACAACTATTGGGTGATCGAAATCAGAATGCCATAACAGTAAGATCCTGATGATTTGCAGGGGACAGACTTTATTTATAAATAAAGTAGAGTTGAATTGAGTTTAATTGAGTATTATGTATGTGCCACAGAAGTTCAGTACAAAAGGCAATACAACTATTGGGTGATCATATTTAGTATTTTATTTAATAATGGCAGTAAATTATGGTAAAATGTTTTCATAATGAACCACTGATCATTTTTAGTTAACCACTAGAGATTTCACTTATGGGAGAAGGAGGATCACATTGTCATTGAAATTGTGATGAATGTGCATGTAACAGACCCAAAGTTTGAAAAGTCTATAATCTGTAATTCAACTAATACAAAGAAGTATGTGTCTAAACATTTTTTTTTTTGCTTGTTTGTTTGTAATGTATTTTTTAAATGATTTTCTCAAGAATTTGTTCCTCATTAACAAAACCTAGATTTCACATAACCATACAGTACATTTTTCTGCAGAGTTCAGTTTGTGCCAAATAGATACTCAAAAATAGGTTCAACTTTACTTCAGGGACACAGCAACAACAAAAAGTGAATATAACTCATTCATAGTGTTTTTGAAACTAAATTGTGATTGTACCTCTTTGCCATGGAGCATTCTTTGCTTGTTTGTTTGTAATGTATTTTTTAAATGATTTTCTCAAGAATTTGTTCCTCATTAACAAAACCTAGATTTCACATAACCATACAGTACATTTTTCTGCAGAGTTCAGTTTGTGCCAAATAGATACTCAAAAATAGGTTCAACTTTACTTCAGGGACACAGCAACAACAAAAAGTGAATACAACTCATTCATAGTGTTTTTGAAACTAAATTGTGATTGTACCTCTTTGCCATGGAGCATTCCTTTCCTTCCTGTCTTTTTTTGCGAGACTTTTTTTTTTTTTTTTGCCCTTGACCTTCATCTTTTTCTTCTTCCTTTTTTTCTGTATCTGTGTCTGAGGTAAAATCAGATCTAGAAGTTTCAGATGAAGAGTCTGTACAGCTATCATCAGAGGATTGTGAATGACTAGAGTCATCTTTCATTTTGATAGCTGTTAAACGAGACAATGAAAAGGATACAGGTTCTGAATATTGTTGTGTAAAAGGAACATGCAGTACATCAAAATGATCAAAATTATGAAAATGAATGTCTGCCTTGATTTTATTCTAGTATCCATTAAAGGGATAGTTCACCCAAAAATGAAAATTTGATGTTTATCTGCTTACCCCCAGGGCATCCAACATGTAGGGGACTTTGTTTAGAGTCTATCAGTCTTATAATGCATGGCAATGGTAACAAAATCTATGAGTGTAAAAAAAAAACATGCAGACAAATCCAAATTAAAACCCTATGGCTCGTGACGACACATTGATGTCCTAAGACACGAAACGATCAGTTTGAGACAGAAACCGAACAGTATTTATATCATTTTTTACCTCTAATTCACCACTATGTCCAACTGTCTTTGTGTGCGAGCACGGCTTCCGGTGCGTGAGGTGTATACGCGCTCTGGCGTGGTTTACGTTAATGGGTGTTGTCGCGGGAGGAGCAAACGACAGACACAGTTTATTAACAGAAAATCAACAAAGTGTCCAGAAAAAAGGGAATCAAGTGTCCAAACGGGGGATCTGGTGTCCTCGTCGTGCTGCGGGGTTCGTGAAGGGAAGGGCAGTGGTCAGGAAGGAAGGGTCCAGGTAAGGAGTGGAGTCCGGCGGCCGCACGCGCTCCCCTCTCCGGTCCGGGGCGCGAGGGGCGGCGGCTTCTATCAGCGGCTCCGTCCTTCTCTCTGCCCACGGCGCTTGAAGGGACTAGACGACCCAGCATCCTTTCCCAACGGACGTCTGGACTGCGGGTAAAAAATGATATAAATACTGTTCGGTTTCTGACACAAACTGATCGTTTCGTGTCTTAGG